ATTTGACGTAGAAGAGTTGGATAGAGAGTCGAGAATTTATTTACTCTTGTGTACCAAATATTTCGTTGTCGGGAGATTATAATTAACGTCTTTTCACGTTGAAATAATAATGTAATAGGCGTACTGTTTTTATTGGCTCTTTTGTTATTACTACAGTGGCGAAGTGATTCTTGCCAGTTGTGGGCAAACTTGATACTTGATGCTCAAAGTTTCTATTAAACTAAATAAGCTAACGGGCGTCATAACTATAATCATCATCATAACACAATATACGTATGATTATCCAATTTACTTTTCACTCTAATCTCAGTCAAAAATCTCTACGTACAGTAGGTTCTGGAAATGTCTGCCTAAAAAGTCTTACTACTCAATCGTGTTGAGTATAGCAGCCTTAATGTGGTCACGCTCTGTTGGCAGTTGTAGATCTATCCAGCCTAAATGCAGTACCACGGGAATATTGGAGCAGTTTTGAAGAAAAATTTCTCCAAGCGACGGTAGGATATCCGCACTTTCTTTTAGTTCTACGAGTATAGCTTGATTTACGAACGATATTGAATTACGCTATTGGAGAATCTACATAGGCTAACTAACGACTGCCTATATTCACAGCGACTGGTACCTTTGTGCTTGTACAATGTACAGTATAGTACTGTATTAATAATAGAAAGGAGAAAAAAGTTCGATTATAATTATAATTATTATTCAGTGATATAGTACAAGCTTGCGATTCTATAAGCTGCATATTCGCACAGGCGATAAAGTACAGTATACGAGTATATCTATTTGAAAAGCATTCTTGTAGCTATCATTATAGTAAATTGAGATGATATTAATTTAGGACATTGATGAAATCTCATTGCTATAACATAATGTCACTTTCACGGATTTCTACCGTTGGACATGGATGCGCGGATTTTTGAAGCAACAGCGGTGTATTACCGCAATCGCCCAATCAGAATCAATAATGAATATAGAAATGGACGCCAAGCTCAAGATACTCAACTATCTTTAGACAAGTCATGGTTAGAACTGCAGCGTTTCTACTCCATAACGGAAATAAGATCAACTGGTAAATAATAAGTGATTAATTAATTGTACAATCACTTAAAACGATGGGTATAATACAGTTATGATACAGAAGTAGGCGTACTATGCTTGCGCTCGTTGACATAGTATGATCGAAAATGTAGGCGTCCATATCACAATCAAAATCTATTTAAAATTTTATCAAATCAAATAGATCTTTAACGGCCTATTTCACACTCTTGACGAGACAATAAATTTATTTAGGCAGGCAAAACGCAAGTCAGTATGATATAATGGTTAAGGGATAAAAAAATTGAATTGTATGATCACTGTTGCAACAAGTATCACGAAAGTATTGTTATACTACCGATTATCATCAGTCGTGATTGATTAAGTTTTACAGTATTATTGCCTGAAGAGAAGGACGAACGAACATTGCACATTCCATGATAAAAGTAGAGCTCCTGATGAAAACGAGTACAAAGTTAAGTGCATAGGATGACTGCCTTGAACAGCACACGTACACAAGGATGCCACTGTGGTGGATGATTACATGAGAATGTTTCTAGTTTATGAATATCGATAAAATAGGCGAAGAAGAAACTGGAGTTTACCAATGACGTAAGCAGAAGGCCCCCCTGAAGGTCTCGAATAACATCCTTGACTGCAGTAGATGCTTGATTTAAATGTAGCAGTACTGTAGCGTAATGCAGGCTAGCATGATCATGTCGATGTACGCTGAGTTATGAAGGAAGGAATATTACCATCCGAGTAAGCCTGAATGGATGTATTGACGATGGGAACTTTTTCCCCCTCCAATTTAGCGGTATATTTCGCTTTCTATGTTCCCGAAAGCGTAGAATATTGTATGCAGTTTCTGGACCAACTTTTGAATAATACAAAAAGGAACGCAGAATTACTCCTTTGTAATGTAGCAGACGGCTAAGTTGCTACACCCTCTACGACTGTAAGTCCCGTATGCAAGAGCACACATAATAAGCATATATTATTGTTGTTACTTGTGCATCGAGTTACGCTATTATGGCTACGATGCTGAAATAGGCAGAGAATCTTCTCTATTTTACCGTTAAAATGGGAGGAAAAAAAAAATCGGAAAAACATCCCTTGTACGATTGTACGCGTCCGGCTAAAACGTGCTTTATCAAACTGTGGGGTAGTATCCATGGTATCAGATTAGCACTCTATCACGTTGGATTCTCATCCTCTTGGCGTAGCAATGACTGATTTTTGTACTGTGTGTAGACAGTTGTGATATACAAAGATTTGTGCCACGCTATTCACATTGGTATCCCATTTTACTACTGTGTATGTTAGGAAATAAAGATGATGTTGTGCATTATTTCGTCGTTATGCTGATGAATACAATTAGAATAGATAAGATTAGTGTAGTAGTCCGACTTACCGCTTGTTCTCGATTAGGATCGAATCGAGGTGATTATCAGGTGGAGTATTTCTTTTTAAAATGATCGATACAGCAAAATGGATCTGTCCAAAACGTATGAACTCTTATTACTGTTATTTACGTAGGGGGATAATTAAGTTGATAACTAGCTAGTCGGTTTATAAAGCTTTGATACACTTGGTATAATATCTAAATATCAATAACGCGTGTCCTCGGTATGCAAAGTTTAGGTGACCAGGTGACGCTTACGGGGATTATTCTATTTACCCGTTTATTGATACATTTAAACGGTTTTTCGTCATGCTATTGTATCCGTCATAATAGTCATTATATTGTTATTGCTACAGTACTTAACGTCCATTGAAAGGATGGATGCATACCAAAGTGTATTACATTTAGCCTTCTTTTGAGTCATTGCAATACACCGGCGGCCATTACTGTTCAATTGCGGCCGCTTGTCCATTGCAGTCAGGCGTGTAACGCTGTTAGGTACGCTATCCAACGGCAAGGGAGATGTTGCCAGGAATTTCATCCATAATCAACTGTGTACAGTATAGGATACTCGATGACATATTACTGTATACTTGGATTGTATTCCTCATTTAGCCTCGCAAATGATTTCCTCATTGGGTAGAAAATGGTTGTGTTTGACAGCCGCTACAACCACCCTCAACTGTTTACAGTTGAAATGACTGTCGTAGTATATTGGTTTGCACGTTAAAAAAGAAAATTACTCTCCTTGCAACTTGGATCATACTGGATCTGCTGTCACCATGAGTTACAAATGAGACTCATAAAGTCGCGATCCAGTGAATAAAATTACATGATTATCCTGGGCGTTACCACAGTCTTGTAGTATTCTACAGTAGTTCACTATTGGAATGAACAATAAAAACCCAATCAGCGCTGTTTTCATCTAGGAATGCGGCTGTGTCATGAGAGTACAGTGTACAGTGTACAGTATGGGGAAGGCCTACAGTAAATGTACTGTGATCTGCTACTGTAGTACTCCGATTTTTCTTTTACGGAGACACAGGAATGCGGCTGCGTGATGGCAGTGCTGTACTGGACAGTTATGTGTCGCTTACAGTACTGTACAGTATCGTACTCTACTATGATCTTACACTACCCAGATTTTCTTTTACTGAGACGCTATTCAAACGCTCCGTTAAAACTGTTTCAAAAGCGGCGGCTGGCTATACTGTACGTACTGCGCAGTACGCGAAATCCTGGTGACGTACAGTACAGTATCAGGGACTACTGGAAAGAAGAGAAAAGGACACGACACCTCCGAAAGCTGCAGAAAATGTCTACATGTGTAGGCCGACTGTTTTTGCTGGTCATTTCAACTGCACTGACCATCGGTAATCGTATGCTATACTGTACTGTATCCTGCTCCAAATTCCCTGCCAGGTTGCTTTGCATACTGTAGTACAGATGATTGCATTGAGCTAACTTGCGATAGTTTTAGTATTGTTGTAGCTCAATCGCTGTCAAGTAAGGTTCCCATTGGAACCAATTTCAATAGCTCTTAGTATAGAGAAAATGGATAGGCAAATTCCCTGCTAGGTTGGTTTGCATACTTTAGTCTGTAGTACAGATGATTGCATTGAGCTAACTGACGATAGTTTTAGTATTGTTGAAGCTCAATCGCCGTCAAGGAAGGTTCCCATTGGAACCAATTTCAATAGCTCATAGTATAGAGAAAATGGATAGGCAAATTCCCTGCTAGGTTGGTTTGCATACTGTAGTACAGATGGTTGCATTGAGCTAACTGACGATAGTTTTAGTATTGTTGAAGGCTTGAAGCTCAATCGCCGTCAAGGAAGGTTCCCACTGGAACCAATTTCAATAGCTCATAGTATAGAGAAAATGGATAGGCAAATTCCCTGCCAGGTTGGTTTGCATACTGTAGTACAAATGATTGCATTGAGCTAACTGACGATAGTTTTAGTATTCTTGAAGCTCAATCGCCGTCAAGGAAGGTTCCCATTAGAACCAATTTCAATAGCTCTTAGTATAGAGAAAATGGATAGGCAAATTCCCTGCTAGGTTGGTTTGCATACTGTAGTACAGATGATTGCATTGAGCTAACTTACGATAGTTTTAGTATTGTTGAAGCTCAATCGCCGTCAAGGAAGGTTCCCATTAGAACCAATTTCAATAGCTCTTAGTATAGAGAAAATGGATAGGCAAATTCCCTGCCAGGTTGGTTTGCATACTGTACAGTGTACAGTAGTACAGATGATTGCATTGAGCTAACTTACAGTACGATAGTTTTAGTATTGTTGAAGCTCAATCGATGTCAAGGAAGGTTCCCATTAGAACCAATTTCAACAGCTCTTAGTATAGAGAAAATGGATGGGACAGTACAGTACAGTAGTTTGACCCAAGTCTTACAGTATGAGACGGTTTGTACTGTACACTGTACACTGTACACAACAAAGTACAGTACCACGTACTGTAGACTACAGTACAGTACTGTAATAAAAGCGCTGGAGTGGATCCCAAGGTTGCAGTCCCTGAGCCTGTGTGTCCGCCGAAGATCGCTATGGGAGAAAATATATTTCTATTTCTGCCCAATTTAATCGGTAAGTCAGCATCTCTTCCCAAAATTAGACACATTGAGACCTTTTACCTGTATTTTGATGTGTATTATAGGCTCACCATAGTTTGACCGTGACTAGAAAACTCTTATATCACCAGATTAAAGTACTGGGTAGACTCCGCTATCAGATAGTTTATTGATGGAAGTGACTGTATAGTGTGTTACTTCCAGCACAGTACTGCACGTAGTCTGGTGCGCATCAACTTATCGTAGTATTAACTCACATTATAATTAATTGCAATTCAGCGTGATGTAAATTGAAATTTGGAGATTAATAATCATCGCCTTTGATGATCTTATTTTCATTCCAATCATTATAATGAAATTTTTAACATGACCTCTAAATGCCTATCACTAGACTGATATTGCAAAGCGCTGCGATCATAATGATAATGAGATTATTTATTGAAAGGGGAGAACGACTTCGTCTTGGATTTGACTTGGCTGGAATTGGACAGTAAAGTGTCGGCATACAAGTTATTACGATACTAGCAAATTACACATACTAAAAAATGAGCAAATGTTACAATGGTAGATATTTGAACAAGTAAAAGTCGTACTACAGACTAGAGCCAGCTATATCATAGCTGGAGATGGGTATGATTGCACTGATACTAAATCATCATCGTTTCATTCATGGAGACCCATGTCTTGTACTGTAGACGACTCATATTGCATCTCGGTTGTCTATTAATTATACGAGAATAGAAATTGTTTCCCGATGGAAATGACGCAAGTACTTCCTGGTCTTATCATATTGCTAGGGAACAGATAGATTATAATCAATGCTTAAGTAACATCTGATTAAGTAAGCGATCTATATTACTGGCGGACAGTTTCCTATTGCAATTGAAGGCTTCATATCAATCTCTGGCTATCCATACAGATACTAAGAGCTTTAGGATGGCTAAATTAACATTGCTATAAGCAAGGTTACATGATCATGCTTGTTACGATCGCTAGTTATCAAAAGATGAGTCCGTCAAAGATTCATCATTGATGATACTCTTTAAATTGACAACACTACATTCGCATACAACTGAAGGCTTTATTGTCTTAGAGTCAAAACTCCTCTAACAAATCCATCCTTTGTTAAAAATTTCCCTAATTATACTGTACAGCACGTACTGTACCCTTTAGTCGAATGTTGTTCTATGCTAGACCATCAATTTATTAATTATAATTATCGTATTCATCTTCTTGATCATATAAGAAGCATCAAACCAATTTTCAACTCATGACAACTTGTACTCGTCGTAGCAAAGTAGGACATCGTTGCAGTACGCGCAATAAACAGCATTGATAGCAATTCTGCTTCCGCATAAGGTTGTATCTGTCAACAATATAAAGTCTTATCATGAATAAATAGATGTAGTTTCCAATCATCAACTCTTGCCTTTGAAATTCTAATTCGCTTATATTTTAAACCCATTACTTTACTTGATGATTTTTAGACCATGTTGAAGTTTATTGTCAAAGAGATAATCCTCATGTACACACGTACTATGCATAACGAATTCAATTTACTATGCAACTTATTCAATATAAAATTTAATTGTGGTATAGATTAATTTTATTCTTTCTTGGTCGCTATTCTAGGGTACGCAAGGGTTATACTAGCTTGTGCGGCATTCTACTACATGCCTACAAACCATCTACTATGTGGTGGACTATATATTCTCAGTCAATTATTGGATGCATTTGACGGTTATGCAGCACGATATCTGAATCAATGTAAGATGAACAGACGATAAAATGAAAATTTTTACAACAATTAATTTTACATTTTCTCTCTACGCCTACAAGAGTCTGTTTGTGACAATACTTAATTTTGTAGCTTATTCATATATAGTTTAACCTTGATCGAAATCGTATCTACTTTATATCACTCCTTTTCTATGAGCTTGTACCTTACTCCCAATAGTAACAATCTATTTATTATCGCCATTGCGTTCTAATGAAACATTGCCCACAGATGAATTATCGACCGTAGTATGCATTTCAATCTTTACACTTAATGTCGCACGAATTAGGCTTGTATCATTGTTAAGTATTAATAATGTGCTATGCTGTGGCATATTAGTTAATCGGATTACTTAAAAGTTGTGATCATTCTTCACGTTTGTACATTACAGGTACCAAATTTGGCGCTGTACTTGATATGCTGACAGATAGGTACGCCCTACTACACAGTATACAGTATGCTATTATATAGAACGAATAGGATTACTACATAGAAACTACCCTATGTAAAGGATGATAATTATCACTGTATTGCTTACTCATATACACGTATCTCTCAATGGGCCAATAAAGATATAGTAGATATTTCTTATGACAAGTTATTTTCTTTGTCAGATGTTGCACTGTTTGCTTAATGGTGGTATTGGCAAAATTTTACGAAGACTATTACTTGATGTTTCAATTCTTGATTGCCCTTGATATTACCAGTCATTGGTTTCATATGTACAGGTAACATACGTAATGCAATATCCAATGTAGTTCTGTAGGAGGGACAACGATCGAATTCTTACTAAATGAACCTCCTATTATAATTATTTAATTGATCCCACACTGCTGCATACATATTATTAAACACTACTAACTGTAATATGTTCTCTACTTACAGTTCCTTCCTTAAAGGCAGTAGCAGTCATAAACATATCGATTTATCTGGAAATCCTTTGTTGAGATTATATTATACATCCAGAGTAAGTAAATTTCTGTGTATTTAAAGCACTTTAATATTTGAATACATTGATTCTAATCTAATTTTTTTTCAATAGCCTGTTTTATTCTTTATGTGTGCTGGAAACGAGTTTTTCTTCGCGATGTTGTATCTACTCCACTTTGAAGAAGGGCCCGCAGGTAAAAGTCACCCAAGACCATAAAATACTTAATTATAAGCTTTCATTCCACACCAGTGGCATTATACGAATATTTTGAAATGTGTATTTCGTATACCTGCTCATGTCTGTAATCTTTTAGTTTATTTTTATTTCGCAATACGAATGTAATTAAAGGAGCTTAAAGAATTTCTTAGTATAGAAAATATATTCGATAATCTTATGTACGTATGATGTTGATCCATTTTAATTTTTAGTCAACTATGGCAGCACTTCAATCGGGTTATGGAAACTCATTGCTTGGATCTCCCTTCCAGTGTGTATTTTAAAGCAATTAATTAGTATTGTCCATCTCATCACTGCATCCCAGAATATTGCTAATGCCGATTTAGCGGAAAGGGAAACACCTAAAAAGCAGTAATTGTTGAAAGCGGTGTAAAATATGTTGTTTAGCAAGATATTTTAGACATAAACGCAATTTATGAAAATTTTATAGCTAGATCTATTATTTGATCTTAAAGACTACAGATATAAATTAATCTTTCTTAACTTAATTTAAAATCCAAAGTTTTATTACGTGCCTGCGGTAACGTTATTAGATCTAGACCCTTTCTTCTTATAATGATTGTAAATGGATAATAAATAATGGGCATTTTGTCGAGCTATAACGAGCCAAATAGTATTTAAGTCTAAATGGTTGGCACAAACACAAAGAGTGATGTACCTTTTTTTAATGACGCAATCGAACTTTTCTCTGTTAAGTTAAGATTCCTTAGTCTTATCACTGTCTTGTATTAAGAGTAAGAACTAATTATTTAATTATCTCTAAAGGTGTTCTGTAACATATATAATGTTATAAATTGAGTAATAAATATTCATTTCAGGACTTAGTCATCAAATGTATTTTTTATGATCAATTATTGGAGTTTAGTATTTTGAGGCTTCACGGTACAAGTTCCAAAATTTTAAATTTTCTGATCAATACGCGTATTGATCTTAGGAAATACAGTAGACAGAAAAAAATAATATTATAACCGATTGATTAGTCATGTCGCTTTCTTAACCATAAGGGAACGTGAATCGGAATAAACCAGTATGAACATGCTCTAATCCGAATCGTTGTACTCTCCAAGTGCATAGAATTTCCGCTTACACCACATACTGCGATAGTCGGTTGTTGCCGTATACCAGAAATTATACAGTAGGCCTGGATTGCATGTTGTCAATAGAAATTATATTATAATTATTAAAATGCGGCCGGGGGGTGTTCCGAGTGTTTGTATCTATGAAATGATACTATGATACAGTAGCATCAGACATGATACTCAGGGCTACTAAGGAAACACTAAAATCATACAAAGCTATTATTACGAATCCCAAGTATTTTCACTTAAGTGTAATGTTTTCATTAACACCAGTTTAAGTAGCACCAATGATACAATTAAAGTCAGTCCTAAACTAAACCAGCAACGATACAAGGAGCAGCAATAATGCACACTTTGTGAACATGACTGGACATCGGCTCTACTTGTGAGAGTAAATCGATGTGTGAGTATAATATTGTCCTTTACAGATAAATTCACAGTAGCTATTTATTACAGTTTGACTTTATTGTACTACCAATGGCTATAATTTACAAATTTAATGGCGCCAAACGATAACTACCTAAAATATTTGATTTAAAGTGACTAGATTAATCAAAATGGAAGTCCAGCGCACAAAAATAACGAAACTTTGCAAAATGTTGATCATAGTGCATTAACGCAACTTGTTCGCAATTCTCTTCTAGGAGGAGTAGGACATTGTCTCCTGTCGCGCAATACCGTAGTTGTAAGAGATAAACAGTCGCTTGCATAGCTCTTTATCGTATTTATCATCGTGATTTAAATTGTCGGAAAATTTGTCGAATTTATCAAAAAATCTTTCGCAAGAGATGGAACTTGCAGGAATACTAAAAATATTTCTAGCCACCTTTCGAAGAGTAGGGCAGCTTGTACACGAACTCCAGTATTTCATTATATCATACTGCAAGTCATTAGCCACTACTGGCTTAGGTGTTTCAATATATTCAAGCAATTCTTCTTTAACTCCCTTAACTTGTTTTAAATTCTGGCCAAAAAAGTATTTAGCTAAATTAAGACCTGACATACTACTTTGTGTTTGCTGCTTGACAAGCGGTTTATTCGCCTCAATGTTGTCACCACTAATGCCTTCTTGTTCTTGCGAAGACCTGATATCGGAAGTCTTCGGATTATCAATTTGCCGCATCATATCCAAGACATTATCGTGTAAAGTATCCCTCTTCAATTTATCTAGCCATGGAGTATCTTTTGTTAAAGGATTCAAAAAAGCAGCAACTTTATGCAAATTTTGAATAATAAAGTGTCGCTGTAGTTGTACCATTAACTCTTTGCGAATGGCTGCTTGTAGGTTACTATCTGGATTAGACTGCACATCATAACTTTCCATCAGAGATAAATATATTGGCCAAACGTAATGTAATGTTGAACACCTCTCATCTTTAACTAACTCAATTGCCTCCATCAATGGACTAAACATATCGACAACTTCCTACATTTTTCAAAAATGCATAAAAAAATTGACTACCAAATTTATAAATGCATTAAGTTCTGAGATCTGATTATATACCTTCAATTCTTCTTTAGTTCTATTTGTATGGAATAAGCATACTAATTGAACGTCGTCTGTTTGATTACTGGTGAGCTCTTTAGCGGCTTGAATCACTTCTTCAAAAGTGTCAATAATTGATAGCAGCATTACCGACAATGTACTAGGATCGGAAGGGTTATATTGTCTTAGCTTTCTCTAAAGCAAGAAAATAATAATATATGTCAGCTATTTTGTATACTACTGGAGTACTAACGCAATACATTCATCTGTATAAGCAACTTATACGTTAAATATTACATAAATATTTAATTGCCGCTCATCCACTTTTAGCAAATTAATGACAGCTGTGCACTGATTTACGATCTCTTCCAAAGCCGTAATATTTTTGATGGTATTACTTATCATTAACTTGATAACATGAAAATAGCTATTTAAGCCTTCTATACGTGATGTTTCAGGCTATAAGTAAGAAATAATAGTATGAAAGTGAAAAATATAGTAAACGTTAGTAACATTAATCACCTACGATTACATCAGTATAGTATAAAATTTAAAGCATCATTACGATTAAACTGGAATCGCTTGTGATCATGTAAAGTCCATTTGCCGTTGACAGTTTAAAACTTTCCAATGTTGCGTTGATCTCATTTAAAATATGTTGCGGTGAATTATCCTTAAATTAAAGATCAATTTGGAAACCAGATACTGTTATTATTTTATCATTGAAAGAACAGTAGTACGCTATACACAAGGTATCTACAGTATATTGTAGAAATACCTGGACCAAAAATGAGTGTAGATTGACAGTGCGAACATTAAAAGATTTGTTGACCATATGTAGCATTATGCAAAGAAAAACTTTATCACCACTTCCAGTCCACTTTTCAATGGAAACTGTATTTGATTTGGACTCAGCAGAGAGCACCTTGATTTGAGATATCAATGTAGTATGTAATTCTGAGAGAGCTGCATTAATGTGACGTTCATGCGGTAAGTAACATGATACATCAAACTTGCCATGTCCTGCAGCTTCATTAACTAAAGCTATAATAGATGATTAAGTAGATAAGATAAGTCAATGTAGAGAGATGTTAACATTTGACGTGCCATAAATATATCTACTACTACAAAATGAAATGTATTATCAATTATTACAGTGCGTACTACGCTAACAATATTAGTTCGTACCTTGAGAAAAGCGTATGAAACCTTCACCATGAATAGTTGAAAAAGGGATTGAATCTGTTAGAAAAAGCTGTCGTATACAACACAAAAATAGATAAAGTGCTGTTAAAACAGAAGTGAAAAGACTTTAAAGATTTATCCACGAATGTATACTTACGTTCATACTTGCATAAAGAAGATTTTTACGAATGTCTGATTTCGATGTAAAAATTGAAGAGGGAACTTTGATGTCACCTGCTAAAGGTTTACTTTTCTTGGATATTTGCATTTTCATAAGCGGAGATTTCGATACTAAAATAAAAATGTAAACAAGTTTATTAATTTTAACATTTCATGACCGCGATGTATAAAATATAGACTAATTACTTATTGTCTTTCTTCTTTTGGGATCTTTAGTCGACGGACTTCCTTTCGTAGGCCTGCTGTTGTCAGTATCGCATATCTCTATATGTTTTTGTAGGTTAGATGTTGTACCTTGTCCGTATGCTAAGAGTTTCTCGCAACCCTGGCACACCACATAATTATCAACTATTGTGTCGCCAACAGAAATACGGCAAACCCCGGACCATACTTTCGATCTGTAGCCTTCTTGACGTATATATATTGCTGAACCATCCTCTAAAGCCTTTAATAGTGCTTGCTTATCTAGTGGTGTTCTACTAGATCGTCTACGTTTCTTGATATCAAAAGACGAATTTTGACCTAATATTTGGTAGTGATTGATACCCGAAAGTAAGACTTAATTTATTATAATTTCTCGAATCCTATGAAACTTTCATAATGATCGATGATGCTACTTTGTTACATGTGAACTAGCCATATAGTAAGGATTGAAACGGAATTGCGTGTTATAGACGATGTTATAATTACGTGAGAAGCATTATTATAATTTACTTAGAATTGATATAATAGTAGTGCATACAGTAATAAATAAATAATAATATTGCAGATCCAACATACTGGCAATAAGCTTATCCGAAATTAAAATTACTTATTACTTCCATACTAATAAGTGCCTTGGTATTTAATAAATGAATTAAATAGGAATTAGTAAATTAGCTGCAAAATAACGCTCAGTATTTGCTTAACGTTGTAGCTTACACATATATACCATAGGTAATTTAAATTAAAACCATATCACTTACACTGATCAACTAGTATTGGTGAATTGCTCTCCTCTGCCATCGTAATTATTATAGCAAAATTGTTGATTATATTGTTGGAATCTTCATAGCATACAGCGGTATTATTATAAGATAATTAATCAGGATAAATAAAAAGTAATACAGTAGTTAGTATACATAGTCAGAACAGATCAGATTTGTATTTATATGCTATAACATATCATAAAATATAATTATTTACTTGATACGATAACATCTATAATTCGTAGTCAGTTTAGACATACAAATTTCCGAATACAGTAATGCAAGTTTTGCAGTACCAATTGCAGTATTTAGGTATACGTTGAAATTGCTTATCTCGATTTGTCAAATAAAAGCGATTACTCATGATGTGCACAAATATACACTTGTATTTACGAATAGGATGTACAGCTGTAACTAGAATAATACACGTATCATTTGTAGTCTATAACGCCAGCATAACTCAGTGTTATAGCAAAAGACTGCATTCATGTAGCACTTGAAAGTGGACAGAAATTATTGCACACTATCCATAGCTATATGCAAATACGAAACGTTAGTAGTATAATACTGCATATTAGTCTTTGGTATATGTACTTGATCGGTAATACTGTAATTTGTGCTCAAACAACAAGCATCGTGACGAATGAGCTCCTTAATGTAACATATTGAGAAATCTTGCAATACTACATGCATCATCTTCGTATAATAGTCTCAAGTCCAATAATAATAATAATGGTATTTTGAGGGCCAAACAGCACCTATACACGAAGTATTACAAGTGGGATAATCTACCTACTAGTTTATTGTAATTGTAGTGGAATATAAAAGTCTTCCATAGCTGCAAAATTGAAGTTCTCAGTATAACAATGAGTATGTACAGAGATTCGCCCATCAGTTCATCATTAATTTATCAAATCAACCATCATTTATTTAAAATAATCATGACTAATCAATAACTATACTGCAGCTTATCGAATAGGAAGGGTATCGTAGAGCAAGAATTTTTTAATCTCACCACAGAATAAAACATTTTCATATTCTTCATGATTGAATTTGTAATCCTTACATGTACATTGAACAAGATGAAGACTTTTATGCCGCGTTAGGATTATATCCAGACTCTTGATCAGTTACTAAATAATTACGAACTCATTCATCCAACGAACTACTGTATTGTGTTGTATCATTACAATAATAATAATGCTAATGATAATTATTCAATTTAGGGAAAATTATTAAAATAGAAGATCAATTTTTATCAATTTTAATATAAGCGTACTGTATATGTACACTAAGAGTACTGTAGAGTAGAGTAGAGAGCAGTGAATTCAATTCCTGTCAAGATCAAATGCTTTAATGAATTCTCCAGTCTATCATTGCGACCGTAGAGTAAGTCACAGTAAAATAACTTTGTTTCATATCAAGATAAAATGTGCAAATTGTTAAGTCTATCATTTTCTTGTATCTTACTAGACCGAATCGGCTTATTTCTGTATTTGGAGCACCTTTATTCAGTAGTAGAGTAAATTGGAATTTCGCCATTTCCTATCGACATTATGAAATATTTTCCAGTAGCAACATTACTCCCTGGAAAGTACACGAAGCGCTCGCATAATATAAACAATAATTATTTCATCTTGTCTTTGCCTATCCTCGATGGCATATCTAATGACTGCTTAACAGCATTCTCAGTTGTCGACAATTTGTGTTGATTCTACAGTACAGTATCATCGTATGTAAATAACTTTGTTTCATATCAAGATAAAATAAGCCAATGGTTAAGTCTATCAGCATTCTCAGTTGTCGACAATTTGTGTTGATGCTACAGTACAGTATCATCGTATGTACGACAGGCTATTTAGAGTAAGCCACAGTAAAATAACTTTGTTTCATATCAAGATAAAATGTACCAATTGTTAAGTCTATCATTCCCTTTTATCTTGCTAGACCGAATCGGCTTATTTCTGTACTTGGAGCACCTTTACTCAGTAGTAGAGTAAATTGGAATTTCGCCATTTCCTATCAACATCATGAAATATTTTCCAGTAGCAACATTACTCCCTGGAAAGTACACGAAGCGCTCGCATAATATAAACAATAATTATTTCATCTTGTCTTTGCCTATCCTCGATGGCATATCTAATGACTGCTTAACAGCATTCTCAGTTGTCGACAATTTGTGTTGATTCTACAGTACAGTATCATCGTATGTAAATAACTTTGTTTCATATCAAGATAAAATAAGCCAATGGTTAAGTCTATCAGCATTCTCAGTTGTCGACAATTTGTGTTGATTCTACAGTACAGAATCATCGTATGTACGACAGGCTAATTTGGTCGACTCGATTCAATCATCTATCCGACACTCGATTTTCAAGATTTTCACGGCGTTTCTCTGCTGTATCAGCACGATTTTCACGCCAATTGACACTTGCTACTATTTCTGAATCTCTTTCTTACTGTATATCAAATTATCAATCGGTTAATCCAAAACAATTTGCAGAACATCAGTAGTCCTACCTCCCCAAAAAGTTGTAATTTGCTTTGGCTTAATCTCGGTTCGGATTCGGATCGGATTTTTCACCACCACAACTGCATAGCGTCTGGCCAAAATTGGCCTACAAATACGATAGATCCAACTTGGCAAGGGATTACAACCACACGCCTGCTCCTGCTTACGTTATGCACTGGCAGAGTCGGCCAGTGTATCATGCACTTGCGGCCTACAGTACATCCGGCACAGGGCAGTAGTGTACTCTACAGTACTGTGTACTGTAGAGTACCACAATGCAATAGAGACTGAACGTACAGTAGAGTACTGCAAAGGATGCCAAACTTGATACTAAACTTGATGCCAAACTGGATACTAAACTTGATGCCAAACTTGTCGAATTTGGTGTTGAAATTATGTTTTCATAGAACTCTATAACGTATAGTGCAGTACTGTAAAAAGGATGCCAAACTTATCTAATTTGGTGTTGAAATTGTGTTTTCATAGAACTCTATAACGTATAGTATAGCACTGCAAAGGATGCCAAACTTGATGCCAAACTTGATGCCAAACTTGATGCCAAACTTGATCCCAAACTTGATCCCAAACTTACCTAATTTGGTGTTGAAATTGTGTTTTCATAGAACTTCAATCGTCGTCGATTTTTCATCAGACACCCTGCACTGCAGTACAAAATGGCCGTTTTTCCTCCAAATAACAGCACTGACTGATATCAAACCAATTTTTCACTACTTGACTACGTTTAGGATCTTAAATTAACGTATAGACACATTTACTAATCTTTGAGTCAATTGGATGGATAGAAATGGTTGTAGAGAGAGCAATCAACTTTCATTCATACTTTTACGAACATATCTGATAGGAATAGAAATGTTGCTAGCAGTACTGTAATCTTTTACCGAAGGACATGACAAAATTCAACGAAGATCCTAACAAAATGAGTTTCACGCATGCAAATAGTTGAAAGACACTAGTAGGCAAAAACGCATCAAACATCCATGCAATCTAAAGTCTAGATACAGTCACAAACTTGACAAGGTTGGGGAAGTCGCCTGTTAATGGTCCATTTCGAAGTTGCTTCTACCCAAATGGAATTAAACAATTTGGGGAAGTGGTTCAACAGTTTTGAATTAAATCTTTCCAGCCAATGACATACTAATAGACAATTCGCTTTCCCTTTCGAACATCCGAATATGGTTTATTGCAAGCCAGTGATTACGTCAGTTACTACATCATACATTCAATGGTTCAGATCATAACCTGCTGTGATACATTTCATTATAATGGATTGAATGATAGCACATCAAATCTCTTAATGTATATCTAAGGCGTATTATAAGCCTTTCCTCCAGATCTGAAGCAGTTCTTGAAGTGTAGATAGAGCCCTACGACCCCGCTAGGTCTGGCTACTTTTTGACTGATAACGTAATAAAATTCAAAATAGGGCTTCATTGAAAGTACATTAAAAAATACAATGATTATAATTATCATAGTCAATTTACAAGTGTCGGCACCCATCAGCACTTTCAATTTCTGGTAATTAAAATCTCACTATCTTTGCTATCAAGAGTGTATTCTCAGTTAGCTAACTAATAATAATAACAAATGGCAGCATTTTACAATACATTTTCTTAATAATTGACAATTTATATTCTGTGAAATAGGTTAGGATACTATAGACATTTGATAAGTTGGAGCTAAATAAGGAGCTCTAAGTAATTTACGAATTGAAATAGCTATTTCTAGATGAGGAACAAACCAATCGACAATACTAATAACAATTAATATGACAATATAGACCAGGCTTCAACTAAGGATATGCTTTATAAACTAAATTACTGATTGCAATATGCAATTAATACCGCAGTTGGCTCATAAGGTACAACAATTGAGAACGAATAGACAAGAATAGTCTAGGGTATCAAATCCCCCAACATAGAAGCCACCGAAGTTGCTGTATCAGTGTTAGTATTAAATTCTCCAGATAGCCAATGATTACCAAGATTAAAGCTCAAGTACTCTAACAATCTGTATCATTTATTTTTCAACAGTTCCACGAAGACCGTCCTTATGCCGTCGCTGATTAGTACAAAATTAAGGTAGAGTATCTTATTAAAGTTTCCTATTTTCCTAATTGAATGCCATAAAGTATTTAATAGCAGAAATTAGCACGTACCTCATTCAGTTCATCTTTTATTTTACTTTCTAATTCTCTTATATCCTCCATAGTCATGCCATACCATTCATCAAGTGTGCAGAATAACTGGCGGTTAAAGTTAAGGAAAAGTCGCCTTTCAGCCTAAAGCACAAGTACAATCAAGCAAAATATTAAAATCTTACTGTACCATCTTTCAGGACAACACTTTAAAAAACTAACCTTTAAGGTAAAGCTTTCGACACGAGTCTGCAATCCCCACCATACAAACTCAATAGTCACAAGCTTATAGGCACACATATATGGGTTAATATTTTTCTATTACAGAACAAAAAATAACACCATGAATCGTTGCCTTTGTAATACGCGAATGCAATATCCATTCTATATCAGAAATACCTGCCAATCACCAGTTAATAGGCCCCTACCAGTTTTAGTAGATTTAAACTTCGAAGGGTCTTCATTTGGATTATAATTCTGTAAATAATGCCATTTTAAGAAATAGTAGTTACACTTACTAATCTATGCCATTATTAATACATCCATATAATATAGCGTAATCTATACCGAGACAGGATCATTTCCAATGTCAATATGAACAACGTCACGTTTAGCAAGTAGATCAGGGGGTAAGTTATGGACCTAACGAGTACGAGTAGAAATCATTACTAAGATGTTATTACCTAAGCGATAAGTAACTCGCCTTAAAGATTAAGTATCAACATTATCTTAAAAGGAAGATTTACAACTACGTTTATAAACTGTATATTTACGAATACATAAGTTGTATCTCGACACACACATTAGCTATTTCGCCTTTATCAGGCTTATGCCAAGTTTCAATTTTTAAAACGAAACCTTTTTTCATGTATTCCGGATTCTAATTGTACCGTTAACAAAAAAGTAAGATCCATTTAATTAAAATTTCAATTACTATATTTGTGAATAAAGGAAAGTACATATAATAGTAAATAAGAAAAAGAATCCATTACAGCGTACCGTTATGACTAAATGACAACAATATTTTCCGTTTCGCAGCCATAAGAATTTTCGAAATTTGAGGTAAAATTATTACCATATTAGAATTATCTACAGAAAGATCGATAAACTTGATATAATCTATTAGAAATATACAACATACTTGTTCTACAGTAAGGATAAGCATTCCAGGCTTTCTCATGCATCTCCATAGAGCCTCGAGGAGCTAACATTTGAATAAATCTAGGTACTTTTCTAAAGTAGATGGAAAGAATATATCGCAAAGTAACCAAAATTAGTAGTCAAATTTCCGAGATGATGCCAACACTTATACTTTTTCATTTAACCATAATACTTCACTATCCAATGTTATAAAGTACCATAGACAATGTTTTGCAAATTTATACGTAGGTATAAGCGCAAACTTGTGATTTAATCAACGCTTTACAAAATTTTTAATATTCAATTAGAGTACAGTGTATAATGCTTCATTGTAGATAGTGTCTTGAGTTCTACCACACCGATAATTATAATCACAACCATGATAGTTATCAGTTTACTGGAAAACTCAATATGTTTTTGCATACTTATCCCACCAAACAGTTTGTAAGAAAGCTAAAACTGTTGGTTCTACAATTTGTATGCTATCGAGTGTTGGCGTTGCTATTGCTTAATAACAGATTTATCGTAATCTGAATATGCTCTTGCAATATAGAACCAGTAATATAGAATCTTATTTGCACTATACGCGTATCATAGGCAATCTATATACGTAACTATAGTATACTACTTGTACGGTATTGGTTAACTTAGTTCTGACAAATATTGTATAACTACCAAAGAATAATTGAATTAACAATTTACAGCGTGTATCAGAGACTGTTTCGAGTAACTGCTGGGTAAATTAAAGTAGACGACGGTTTGCAACTAATTATTAAGAGATTATGTGTAGCCTACAATCCTCCATGTAGAGCAAATCTAGTAATCATTGTCCGTTTTCGTTTATCTACATTGTATAATCTGCATAACTACGCACAATATAAAGTAGATCGTTCTACAGTAATATAAATGCATGTAACGATACAAAGGGTAAACAGTAAGGATCACAAAATAAACCATTCAATTTTTCAATTGATGTATAGAAGACATGTCGTAGGAAGACAAGCATGCTAATAAACAATAATTATGCCATTATTTTTAAGTTGTATTATTTACTAAAAAAGAAGACAACTAGCGTTAAGCTACGATTGCTAATTCTGAGTTTAGATGAAACTCTGCAAAATATAAACGGCAACACTCTATATGATATGGACAAGTCGATTACAACTTTCTTGGCTATACCAGCACTCAATATTTTATCATTTTTATAATGAAGTAATTAATTAACTTGGTCCTTATTAACACGACAAACTATACAGTACAATCATTTTAACATAGCTGTACTATATAGTCAATTAGCAATAGGATATTCTATTCGTATATAGCGGTAGTTGAAATATTGAAGAAAATGAACTAAGCGGCCATTTAATGAGTCGAAAGACAGACACTGTACCATAACACGACCAAACACTGGCTACGGACGTATGTAGTCTATTGATATGGTCAACTCCTAACCATACAAGCTTCAATAACTATATACAATACTGTACTACAGTGTACAGTAGATACGGACTGTAGACTGTGGAGTACTGTAATGTACTGTAGAGGTAAAAAGTTTTTCTTTCTTTCTACTTCTATGGCTGGATAGGCTGTAAATTGTGCTAAGTCTGTAATCTGCTTTGGAAATAATGCTACTATACTGTAGTAATAGAGTAAAGTCAAGCACTTGTAATGGGAATTTATTATTATGGTGTTTGAAGTACTTCGGTTATTATGCATAGTAAAATAATATGATTAAAAGAGACTACAAAATTGGATAGCGTTACAATGGTTCAAGTTACTTACTTAGCAAGATGATATATTTTATGCGTATATTGGCCCTTTCCTAGCTCATCATTCTCGAATGGTTCATTGACCAAAATCTCAACGCCTTCACCACCTCCAGTTTCGTTCTTACTCATCATTGCAACAGCGTATAGTTGACCGACTTGGTACTATATTATATCAACAAAGTCGAAGCATCTTTAGCGCACTGAAAGTCTGTACCTTTTATTTACAGCTTACAAAATAGTAGCTTGTAAAATTTCGATCGTGCTTTGGCAACCAATATACCGTAGTTCAGCATAATGACATTGCTAACCTCCGCAAGTGTGTAGTACTAGTACCAATGATAGTGTGGCCGATTCAATACAGTATTATGCGCATTGCTCTCAAATAGAATATTGCAATAATCATCAACAGCGCGATACTACTGTACTTATTCTATGCAATAATTAAGGGAAAAGAATACAATCAACGTCAAGACTGCACCTCTTTATTACCTACATATCTAATTAATAACTATAAAGCAGTACAAACTGACGGACATACTACTGATGTATCTATATAGATACATCATTAGTATATGAAATAAAAGCACTTGCATTACTGTAAGTCTAATGATATCAAAGCTATGAAAAATAGTGCAATCCAATCAATAAATAAAATGTAGATAGAGTAAGTATTACCAGCCTGAAGTCATTGGTAGACGCTTACGCAATACAGTCAAGTGAAATCATTGATTCTAATTATCGCAGTGATAGTAAAAATTGTCGAATTGATAACGTCGAGCGAGAGATGTAAGATTCAAGACAAGTGTACTTTTTGAATAGTCCCATTTCCAAGGTATAAAAGTCAGGAAATAGGGCAAAAATTGCGCCATGAAGAGATAACTAATTTCACCAGCGCGATGATCAATACTATACTACAATCAGACGTTAGGTACCAATTCTGAAGTTATTTCATTTTACAATTGCAACTATTTTTGTTCTAGGCGTGTCTATTTTGTGTGTATGGGCACAAGTGACAATGATTCTCGTCCTGTATTAAGACTTTCAATTTGAGTAGTCAAACTCAAGCGAATGATATTGATCAATCCACTGTACTGTATATGAATGTCTGTCATCTTGAACGTTGAATCATGCTTGTATAAATCAGTTGACTCTTGATAGGACCTAAGCGTCGAGTAAAGACGTGTGTGTGCGTGGAAGAAGCAATAAATGTACCTTGTACACGCGTATTGATGGGTCGTCGCGCTTGTGCTTGTGCAAAGCGCTACTCGTGCCATCACTATGTAGTTACTTTAGTTTTACTGACGAATCATGCTAGAGTAGTTGGCGTAAATGAGATGTATTTCAAAGTTGCGTCTACTATTGGTGATATCAAGCCTCAAAGACTTGGCTCAGAGAGTGCATCCTTCAGGCAGTTCAGTGCCATCCGCTACAGTTAGCCAAGAGTGTAGAAGTACCACACCTGCATTCATTTTTGGACTGCAATAATATAATAGTATAGGACTGAAAGAGAAAGCAGCTTACCTCTTCTACCGATACAGGCAGAATAATTCGACTAGAAAAAGACAATAATTAAAAGAGATTGATGTTAGTCCATATCAGAACGCGACAAGAAATTGGACAATACAATATAAAAGAATGACCGGACAAATATCAATGATTTAATCATTGTAATTATCATCGATAATCAAGGTGCAACAGTTGAGGAAGCACTAGACTATCACCATGTCCAATCCTATCATCACCACTACTCCATTACAAATTGAATCACTTATCTTTGTTGATCGATTGTAATTAATGGGTCATTTATCATCAAAATAGATAGGTGATGAATGGTAGAAACTTGGAAAATTTTCAGTCAATGCTGGTCTACTATTTACTACAGTACGCCCTCCGATTGGAATCATCCTTCTTGAAAACAACTGCATGTACTACAGTCTTATACTGTACTGTAGTGTCTGCATAGGATGGTAAGATAGCGTATTGTATACTGTACAGTGTGTATGATTGAGAACAACACGAGGGTACATTGAACCGAGTTAAAGTGGCAATAAATATGTTCCTACTTGACATGGTTTTATACTTTTCTAGCCAATAGGTTAGTATTTTATCCTTGGCGTTCTATCATTGATTGTATACAGTAAGGCTAATACTTACAACTCCCTTAACATGACCATGTTGATCTCGTTGCAGGCTAAAAATTGTGTGCGCCGTCAATCAGTGGTATGGAGTCTAGAAAGAATTGGCAATTTACAGCAGCGATTTACTGCAGAGTGATTTACTGTACGACCCGCCACTCTTTAATGTACAGTAGTGTATTGTAGTGTACAGTGTACAGTACAGTGATGAGTGTACAATACTGTGTACTGTAATTGCAGTGTCTTGACAGTGGACAGTACTGTACCGGTGGACCATTTGCTTTTGTGCTGAAACAACCAACTATTCATCAGGGTTGATAGGCAAAGTTGGTTGCATCATCGTTGCACCTGGTTGCACAATGCAAATACTGTAGCGTAGTTACGGTTCAAAGCCAGCAATTTGTAGACGTGTACATTGTACTGTACACTGTACACTCTACTGTGGTCTTCAGTACAGTAGAAAAGTTCTTGCAGTGGCTACTGAGATTGCGCGCCACTACAGTATTGCCAGTCTCCAATGGACTGTACAGTACTGTACAATATGTACAGTACAGTACTGTATGGGCGAGAATTGGGTTGGGCAGTGTCAATTTGATCACAATCCTTTTCACTGTACTGTACTTCACTACAGTGAAAAGAATTGTACAGTACAGTACGGTACTGTACTGTACAATGAAGTTTTGTCTTGAGTGACTGAGTCGGAGTGAGTTGTACTGTACAGTACTGTAGTCTCTTTGTTTCGCATTCAGTCACTTTGCAATCACTTACTTTTCTAGTCAAATCTATAGACGAGGATATTCCTAGGCCTGTCAGAGGTTCGGTTTGTACAGTACTGTATAATGAATGAAAATGGCCTACACTGTACTCTACTGTACACATTGTGCAATCTCAATCCCATGAGCCTGGTAGGAACGATCAATCCTGCAGTTAAAAAAACCTTCAGTCAGATATCCTATACCACATGGACGATACAAAAAGTACAAAGGAAGGCCCTGCTCCGCCAGTACAGTAAATAAATAACTACTCAGTAAACAAGGACTGTACAGTACTGTACAGTCCTGTAAAAAGTCTTGTTCAAAAAAGAAATGCCGTAATAATGTACACATTTTTTTCCCACTGGAAGACCAGTCTGAAGTCAGTCAGTCTGTATACTGTACGCAGTGTACGGTACTGTACCGTGTACAGTACTCTAAAGTACAGTACATCCACTGTACAATAGAGCACTGTACTGTGCAAAATATCCCTTTCAAAAATTCAACATTCCCTCCCAAAAGAATTTCCATTTTGACTTTGCATCTGATTTTGGACAACAAGGATAATCCGGCCCCGATTTGGCCCCACAGTAAATCACTTCACAGTCTGAAGTACTAGTACTGTCCCGTTTTCAACATGAATTGCACCGCAAACACGTTGCACTCGTACTGTATATCTTTCAATGTTGGAAAACAAAAACTACCTTATTCTATCATACAATTGAGCAAAATGCATAGGATGTCATCCTGTATTGCAGGGACTTGTTTTTACAAGGTCCACCTGTATCCATCCATGGTCAATGGTATATACGCGTATATAACAACATATGCAGTACATACTATACCTTCGACAGCAGATAAGACACCGTCATCGACTACTAAAATAACACTCGCTTTTCTTGTAGTAGTCTACTCCATCACTTCGCTTTACGCTTTGGAAATGAGAGCGCAACACAAGTCATATGCAGACATGCAGTACTTACTATAATAACTCTCGCTTTTCTTGTAGTAGCGTACTCCATCACTTCGCTGTACGCTTTGGAAATGAGAGCACAAGTCTATTTTTGTTATAATAACTCTCGCTTTTCTTAGTAGTCTACTCCATCACTTCGCTTTACACTTTGGAAATGAGAGCTCAAACACAAGTCTATTATTGTTATAATAACTCTCGCTTTCTTGTAGTAGTCTACTCCATCACTTCGCTGTACGCTTTGGAAATGAGAGCACAAGTCTATTTTTGTTATAATAACTCTCGCTTTTCTTGTAGTAGTCTACTCCATCACTTCGCTTTACGCTTTGGAAATGAGAGCTCAAACGCAAGTCTATTATTGTTATAATAACTCTCGCTTTTCTTGTAGTAGTCTACTCCATCACTTCGCTTTACGCTTTGGAAATGAGAGCTCAAACACAAGTCTATTATTGTTATAATAACTCTCGCTTTTCTTGTAGTAGTCTACTCCATCACTTCGCTGTACGCTTTGGAAATGAGAGCACAAGTCTATTTTTGTTATAATAACTCTCGCTTTTCTTGTAGTAATCTACTCCATCACTTCGCTTTACGCTATGGAAAATGTAAGCACAAGTCTATTCGTGCAGCTCCATTGCTGTCACAGTTTAGTAGCAGTCAACGTCCACTACAGTGTACAGTACTGTACTCTACAGGACACAGTCCATTCTGCTTGCTCCAAGACTGTACTTGGTGTACTGTACTGTCCAGGATAACCTGATTGACGTCGCCTGAGTAACCGACTAGATCCTAGACTGTAGTCAGTGTACTGTACTGTAGTGTACTGTCCAGGGATAAACTGATTCAGATTAATCCACGTCGCCTAAGTAACCGACAAGCCATCTCTGCCTACAAGTTTGTCGACATGGAAAAGAAACTTCAAAGCAATGTTTTCCCCTTACACTTAAAGAGGTAAAGCTAATGCAATAGACTGAATTGCAAGGTAGAATACGACTGTTGTTGTTGTTCACCAAGTTGGAGATGTTATAGCCATAGACTGTTCAATTCTGCTACAATGGTAGTGTGAGGAACGTTGAAGAATCCAGAATCATACATACTGCACTGCTGTCTGCTAATGACATCAAAACATCAAACAGCATGAGCTAATCATTTCCAGTAATCCATAAAACACACAGTAAATGCAACCAATTGGACATGCTCTATACAGCTAACGCTCAAACTTAGTCGTTTCAATCAGTATTGAATGTGCCACAAAACTTGTTGGATATACATTGACAAATTATACTGTAGGAATGCTTTTGCCATCATGTAGGATTTTAGAATGAATAACCCTTTGCAAAGTCCAGCTGTAGGTCAGTAATGTCTTTTCTTTTTGGGTTATGTTGCAAACGTAGACTGGTTGATCAAGAGCACCTTATCATGCAATTTGGCCACCCAAAACCATCATGGAAGGTTAGTATCAGTTCTAGTTTAAGAATGGATGTTCATCTTTTAAAGCTGTTCTATATAATTCATGGATGACATACTGTATCCTAAAAGCTCTTCTTGACCTGACCTACTTACTAGTAAAATGGATGATAGCCAACTTATCATTGACACCGTGACTTGCTACTGTATATCATCAACTATGAATTAAAAATGACAATACAGTAGATCATGATCTCGTCATAATTTACAGTATCGAGTACTAAGCAACAATACAGGTATACGTCAAGTAATTATACATAGGACTTCAACTTGAAACAACCTACCAGTGATTTCTTTGCCTATTTGTATGCAAAGAATAAAAATCCATCCTAAATCAACTATTAGTGGCCAATCAGATAACCTGAAGTGTATCCTAATTCAGCTGATTAAAGCATATGATATCGTCAATATCAATATCTTTAGGAAGGTGATGTCACATTGTACCGACAACAAATTCGATCTAGCCACCCAGACACCGAAGAGGTGCCAGAATTTGGTGAAGGTAGCGCATATCGCTATCATCAACGCGAAGAACTTAAACGTAAAAGACGCAGTCGATCTGGAGAGCAAAATATAAACAAATTACCTTGGTTCCTCGATGTTGGAGACGGTGATAACGCTAAAAAGTAGGCGTACATACAAATTTGTTTGTGGGCAAAACTTTCAATCTCAATACTCTGATAGCATACGCATACGTACAATGAATCCAATTATGTCTATACAGGACATGCATACTATTGCACTAATCAGTTAAATGACCATTATGACTTCGTAGTATAATACTCACCATTTATTATATCATATAATTAAGTCGTCAGTTCACTTCAACAGATTTAAAGGTTCTCAAGAAGGAGACATTCAAACAAACTCGGATTACTATCTGATGACTCAATCATCAAATGGTGCCTTTCAGGTGGCACCGGTAACCAGCTTTATTAAATTTTACTCCATACCTAAACATTATACACTCAATATTGATGAAGCAGAAGAACAGATGCAAAGAAAAGAAGTGATCTACGATCATTTTAATTTTATGACTTCCAAGCGTATAAAACAGAGTGAAAATGACAAGGAAAGTCCATCTAGTGGAGTTCGTTTGGTGAGAATTTTGCTCTTATGAAGTTAAATACTATACTCATACACGTATCTTTTACAGTAGTCAACATGTTCATTCACACTTTTACATCATTACTCTATATCGATTAATCCACTTATAACGGTATAATTAGTATTTGTATCTTCACCAAATAATCTGATCTTGCTATACTGTAACTTTAATTTAGCGTCTAGTAGAAAGAAAAACGAATGAAAAGTCTAGCTCGTCATCTGACTACGAAAGTGAAGGTAAAAATTGAAATCTCCGGCCCATAATCAACATGAAATAACATTACTTTCACATCAAATCTTCTCTATTTATTTTTCATTCAAAGTCAAGCTATTACTAGACAGTATTATTTTAACGCTCTTATTACAGTTATTACGGTAATTATTATTTTAAATAAAGGGAAATAAATAGATAAATGAATGAGGGAAACTCAGTGTAACATGTCCAATAATTATATGAAACAGTCATCATACTCATTTGAAACCCAATTCTAAATTATGAAACTCGCAACACTCTTTTCATCAAGATGAAAGTAAAGCGAAAGCGAGAAAGCGTAAACAAGACGCCCTTGAAGCTAAGAAACATAAGAGTAAATACGGAAAGATCAAAGTTCGTGGCGATGAAGATGATGCAGAAAGTGAGGTTTCAGATGATGCAGAATCAGAAGGCTTCGAAGTTGATTATATGAGTGATACTGTGTCATCCAATGAAGAAATACAGCACAAAGAAGGTACATTCGATAGCATTTATTCCTACTATACAATAAGAGATAGCCTATCAAATAGAGAATAAGACTAATTTCTACCCACAACAGATAAACCTCAAGAGAATGATGGTATACCAGACGAAATTGGAGGTTCTGAAAATTCTGTTTACTCTTCTGATGAAAACGACGAAGATCTAACCAAGAGTGGACTCGAAATGAAGAAACTACTAAATCGCAGCGATAATGATAATTCAGATTCTGATATACCGGAAGATTTTGACGCAGACGAAGAGTTATCAAAATCAACGGTGTGGGTACAAAACAAAGACAAGAAGAAAATAAGTTCTGAGGAATCTTCCAGTAGTTCCGAAGAAGAATCAGTTAATAAGTCTACTAAAGCTAAAAAGACCGCTGCAATAGTAGCCAAAGCTAAAAATAATGCCCTAGTGAATTTAGCAGATCGGGCGGACTTTCCAACTCGAGTAGCTAAAGAGAAAAATAAGCGTTCCTCAGAAAATCAACCGTCAAAGCCTGCTAAAAGGGTTAAAACTGAAGTAGGGAATCGAGAGGACAGCAGCAGTATCGCTAGCGAAATAAAAGACTATGTGACACCAGAAGCTGTTGCACGCTATTTAAAGAGAAAACCGATGACTACATCCGAATTGATCAAGAAATTTAAGAAATACTTTAAAGATTCCAAAGACAAAAGATCAATTAATTTCATAGCCGAAATTATTCGTAAGTTAAACCCTGAAAGGAAAGTTTCTGGAGGCGCCACTTACTTTTATTTAAAGTAGTACGTGCACTGGCATGAAACGCGATATACGCGTATTGTAATAATAAAAAATAATAACTAAACTGTATGAAACACACTAAAAAATATATTACGAAAATACCCTCAAGGCGATTATTGTAACTTTATTTGCCAAAACGGTAAGTTTACGACATCATTATTTTTATCATATATGTTGTCTGTCAAATGTGATGGCTTAAGATGTACAGGTTATTACATCGCTTATAAGAACTTCTGTAATCCAACCAAGAAAAATAGGTTATCTCCTTTAAGATAATAGTATTAATAATTACAATGTATCATTATCAAATATCTTAAGAATGATATTTACAGTTAGTAGCATATAATTATAATTATTGATAAGCGTTAAATTTTATAAAAGAATATTAAGCATGCTACTTAAATCGAATAGACGGTAGCATACTCAGTTAAATTTTATTATTGTGTTGAATTTACAAAAATAAAAATTCCTGTATCCAAAAACGTTAACTACCGTTTAGTAATATATATATATATATATGTTCGTATATGTCTATATGATAGGACTTCTATCCAAAATCTTATTTTCATACCCTTCCTGTATCACATACACTATAGCAGATACACATTAACTGTTTTAGGATAGCGAGTATTTAATTTAAAGATTGCCTCCTCCACTCGGTAAGTATCCTGTAAGAGATGGTTGCCCAATTAGCCACGAACATAATCCAGGTTTATAATATTCCGATGTGGCCAAGATTACAATCAGATCATTATCATTTCTTATGGATAAATAGGTTTTGATGTCGTCAATGCTTAATGCGTTATTCTGCTTTCTAAAAGTCACACAGACAAGATTAGTGAATGGATCAATATTCATTCCATCAGCTTACGATCCAATATGCAAGATTCAACTGACCTTTCCGATTCGATAAATTCTATTAAAGCATAAGTTTTAGTATCTACTTTTTGCTTGAAATGTTCGATATATTCAGCTCTTATCTGTGTAATGCAAGGCAGTTCCTTCATCTATAACAAACGATGTCTTTATTAGTCAGTTAAGAGCTTATGCCACCTTTTGTATAACTGAAATAAACATCATTTAACCTCTTCAAGAAATTCTTCTATTAACAATGCACCCTCTTCGACAAGAGTTAGCATTTGGCTGCAGTAATAAAAATAAGCATTGAAATCTGCTCTTTCTCATAATGTCATTAAATTTGCATTTATGAATGGAATCAACTTGGTAAAATTGAAAAAACTTACGGCGATAAAGAAACAGTCACTTTATTGTTATTGATCCATAGTGTAGCTAAATCAATTTTTAATATTTCTTGTAGAATGGAGGCATGTTGATCAGGTAAAGCAGTACGGTATACTTCCCAGTTATGGAGACTAATAATGGTAGTTGGACGATGGCTACGAACGATGTCACTTATAGGTAAGGATTCTAATTCCTAGCAACATTATTATAAACAATATAATCAAGTCTCCAATCTATCATAAAGAAATAAGTGCTAAATAGACTATTTCAATTTCTAAATAAAGTATTTTTATTTATCAGTACATACTATAATTTTATCACCGAAAGGAAAATCGATCTACTTTAAGTTGCAATAAATACTACATTACCATTAATAACCCTTGCAGATACAAGTCTGGTAGATAAGATTGATTGATACGCTCGTCATCTTCCAGATTAATCCGAGAACTTTGAAGTTCCTTTTCACTATTAAACATTGCTAACGTTCTTACCATCTAAATCAATCCAAAAATAACAAAATTTCAGATCACTCCACTTAATAGTAGTACAATATTATATTGATATTGAGGAAGTAACTGTAGCTAGGAAAATATTCCGCTTTTAAAGAGACAAAGGATAGAATACTCATCATTGATCGTTTAGTATATTACTTTATTGATTTGCTTCATATCGCTGCCAATGACTATGCTACAACGGCAAGTTTGCAAATGCGATGTTATTGCCCTGTAATGAATCCAATATTAAGCACAGTTAATATTTTTCAAGAAATACTAACGGCTATCATTCTTTGTTGATTCAGTTTAGAATATGAAATTATTATTACATTATTAAAATAACTTTGATCTTAGCTTGAAAACATTGACTAACAAATATGAATCTGTATACAATTAAAATTATCTACAACTAGATTCTCAGATATCGATTTAAACGTAAATCAAAATCAATGTTCGGTACCTAATCACGCTATATAGAATTTCTTTAGTTCCTTACTACTCTAAATCACCAAATTTAGCTGATATATATTAATCTAAACTAGTAATACCCATTTAGCTCTGTTCGCTTGGTAGAACCCATCGTAATACGATGAAGTACTCTACTAACAATCAGTTACATAAAATGAACTCATTTACATAAGATCGTACTTTATAAATTCTGATTAGAAATTCGTAAAAATATTTCCAAGGTATCTACTAAAGAAATTACAACCTACTTTTCTAAAAGAGCGATTTCTTCTTTCGTAGTATTTTTAAATATGCTAAATAACCACGTATCAGCAATCTAAAAGCATAAATTTTTATTAGCTTAAATGTATAAACTATAATCAAAAAATGATATTACTCTTGATAGTAAATATTAATAAATATTGCACTATAATTTTGTACTGCTACTAAATTTTGCACAGATTTCAGGAAATCGTTATAGAAATTTCTTTACAAAATATAGAATGCTCATAAATGGCGAAAAAAAAACATGGAGTCATTCTTGGGATTTACAAACGTATAAATTCTAGCCCATGATTAATATCAGTACACATTCATCCATATGATAGAATCGCTAATGAATCTGAATGATAATTCATAGATTAATATGATTTTTTAGCCTGCTACACTTAAGCCATCATGTTAAGAGAAGAATAACTCATGCTTTCGGAATTAAAATTAGTAGATTGATCACCACCATTAGACTGCTTTAGCTCAGCATGCTAAAGCTTTAGCAACCTTATTGAGACTGTTGACTTTTACTGAACTTTACAATATGCGATTCCGCAACGATCGATCAGGACAAAATATTTACTGTACAGTCATATCTATTCTACTATTTCATTTATTAATAGATCAAGAACGTATTCCTGTAGACGGCTAGTTTTTAATGAATTCGGAAATTATGGGCTTCTAGTAGATCGCATACCTAGATTCTCAAAGTAAAAGTATAACTACGTCTCAATGAGCACTTAAAAACATTGGGCTGCTATATATATAGTTTCAATACATAGTTCTATTTCATACCCTTGCGGGATAGCCAAAGATTGGTCAATTTTTTTAATAGTTTACACAATCTCTAATTAGTCAGATAAGTATACTATTTACCTCGAGTGTACCGGATAGTTTCCCGCGAACTATTGCAGTAATATGTATTAAGAATGCCTTTAAATCATTAAAGATCTTTTCAATTGCAGTTTGATAATTCTATATAATTTTAAAACAAATTTAAAAATATATTAATGATGTATAAGGCCACAATTCTTATAAGCATAAAAAGTCTGCATGTCTACAATTAAATGATCATCGCTACTTCAAGCAACTCTTTACTTGCAGCCAGCTACTTGCTGTTGTGCATTATATCATCTAAAATCGAACTCTTAACTCAAATTTAGCATAATTCGTGACTGTGTATCTACAGTATAAGCTGTATCCTACTCGCCTATACCTTACCACATGAAAATGGTGCTGTGAATTTTAATTTTTCATCTATTGAAACGTAATTTACGACTATATATTAACAGCAATTGTATCATAACTTATTGCACGTAGTAACTTGAATTTGCTTAAATCAGTTTTCAATTCGTTTTAATGCAAGTCTATAATTCTGTATGGCTACTAGCTATAGCTGTATCACAGCATATCGCGAATTTATACGACACCAAATTGCTTAAGTGAACTTTCCGATCGATCCATATTAAACGTAACTCGTTATCGTGTATCAATAACTTGCATCGCAGTCGATGTAACACTTTTTACCGAAAAATCAACGAAACTCGTAACTTTATCTACAAACTACATCATTTATTACTCAAATTCGCCGAGAAATTCAGGGTAATATAACTCAGAACCATCTACAACTTGAATTATGATGCATCACATAATCGTACGCAAGCCTACAGAGAAATTCACAGTATTACAAGACTAAATATAGTGCGAAATGGTGAATTCATAAATTGCAATATCATTCGCTATATATTGACTAAGAACTATTTGTAACATAATCGTAACTGTGCACTGTATCTACAAGCTGCATTAAAGGTGATCAAGTAAATCGATTCATGGCTGAGAAGTTGCTTGTAAAACATATACGAAGCATAATAAAATGAAATGAAATCGTAATTGTGCACCTTGGCAAACTGCATTAAAATTGATCAAATACTGCACACTAGTAATATTGAACACTGGAAAGAAATTGATTGCAAATAAAAAACGAGTCGCTGTGCCTATAAACTACATCAAATTAATACAGTACTGTTTATCGATCTATTACTAAGAAATTTATTATTAATCTATGAGAACAACGTAATTTGTAGTCGTATGTTTGCAAATCGCGCTTATTACCAAGAAATAAGTCTTTGTAAGCAATAAAATTTTCTTATAAACAATTCTTCATTCTCAGACTTGATAGAATTGAACGATTATGATCAATTAACATCTTGACCTACGAGTCAATTTCTCTTACCTTGAATTGGAAGAGTCGAAATTTAGCGGTAAACTCCACAATTCTGGTTTCACAGATTTGATACAAAGGCATATAGTCATTTAAATATCGGGTAGGCATTAAGATAGAAAATGCATATAATGTAGTTCTGCCATCTTTTAAACATCCATAAAATTTATAGCAATTAACAACAACATCATGCTGCGGTAAGAGTAATAATTTATAGCTGACGATGCCTTCCCCTTCACTACCATCATGAAATAAATCACGACCAGTTAAACTGGCGACATGAAGGATGCATTTTTCACCAATTTTACATCTCTCCTGATCACTATACCATACATGACATAGTTTGGGTCCAACAACGTTATCCCATGTCGATAAGAGTATTACCTCAATGAAGCTATCCACACCTAAATCAGATACTAACGCCGATATTAATCCTTCATGAACTGTATCCTTGGGTAATCCATCTCCTTCATTTCCTTGTCCTTCCTCGAAATTACATGCCATTTTATTACGTCTTGATTCTACACCACTCTAAAATAGATCATAACTATAGCTAGTCACAAGATGGAAACAAGGCGATTGGCGTGAAAGTTGGCGTCGTATTTCCAACACCCAATGACTGCTTGAATATCAAGGTGTATAGAAGAGAATTAGAAAGGATGTTAGCTTATATTGGATACAAGAAACGAAGAGGCTAATCAAACACCTAATAAAGTTCTTCCTATGCATCCAAAATAAATAAACTAAATAAAATAATTTGTAGGACAGCACAGCTATTCCATACATTTAGACTAGCGCCAATAGCGGTAAACAACACTAGGTCACTTTCGTCATTCTACTGCATAGCTATACTGTGCTTGAAAACTGCTTTCATGATAGTCACTACAGTATAGAAATGACGTAAGTACTGATAAAGTTGAGTCTGTAGGTGCAATGCTCTGCCTGTTTATTTTTGCCTTTAACTCTTTCCCCAAGTATTACGAGATACAGAAGAAAGAGGCAAGAATATCTTTTGCAATTTTATATTTTCTTCTGTAGCATCAGCTTATACTTAAAAATCGAATCATCCGCGCAATTCTCGATAGCTAGAATTAATCAGAAATGCTACAAAATCGGAGACTACTATTTGCTAATGGTACTGTAATGCCGTACAGGTTGTGCTGTGCTGATGATGACTAGAAGTGATGTACATTAACTAGAAGAAAACTTAAAGCGACAGCATAATTACCCAATTTAGAGATCATTTTTATAGTTTGCATGATCACTCAGAAGCATTATATTTCGATGCTAACAAGACAGTACTGCAATATACTTAAGCACCGGCTAGTTCTAATAACCTCTTTGGAAAAATTTTTATATCTTACTGTATATTGTTCATACACGTATTTATTACTAAGCGCAGTTATTTAAGCCTTAGCAACCTACAAACTGCATTGATGATGTACAGTTTGTAACAATTAATAGAAAAATCAAGATAAGCTACTAAAACGTATTTTTAATTTTTTATGGTTGTCCTTCATTGCATCCAAAGTTCTTATAAATAATATAATCAGTTTATAATCTCTGTTATAGCCAGAATATATTATATTACGAATTTGAAGCACTTAAACAGTAAACTATATATCTAGATAAAGAAGATATCAAGAATTTTCAATTTTTAACCTTTCTGCATATATTAACTCTTTCCAGAATTAGGCACAAAATTTTAAATTAACTTTCCAGCTCTAGGCTATGGAAAGCTGTATATCGTTTTGCATTACGCATAATTATAACTTACGCAAATATTTAAGACTGAAAGGACCTAATATTAAATAATATGAAATATAATGACGTAGTAGTGAACATACGCAATCTTCTTGCTCCAAATAAAGTTAGCATTCATCACGTATTGTATCCCTTCAAAGCTTTGACATTATAATATTCAGATTATTATATAATTTTATCTTTTGAGTGTGCTATACGTAAACACTAATATCAGATCATAAACATTACGAATAGCAATTTATAATACATTATACATGTGAAGTACAATATTTGTTTATCATAAATACACGAAATGTACATTGGTCATAAATTACCAAATCTATCTGTTATTATCGTAGCATGGTATCAAGCTATTTTTGATCAACTTTAATTAGTTCACTAAGCGTAGAATGTAAAATGCCAATAGTCTCCGATAAACCTCCAAACAAATTCCGGGATAACCAAGCCTTCTGATAAGGTTCAATCAGTAGTAGAAGCCTTGAAATTAGAAAATATCGATAAATTTATATCGTATTAGGCAAATTAGATTAATATAATTAATAACTAATCAAAAGACAAAATGTCAACATGATTACCGTACCTATTCGCTAGATCAGTCTTAACAGTACTTGTTAAACAACTAAACGAAAACAATGCCATAGGCTGAGACTTATTATGATGATTAACGGCACTGGCTAGCCTGAAAATTCAATCAAAAGATATCAGATTATACCTAACTATGAATATTTCAACGGCTAATATATACAATACCTTAACGAAAACATGTAGAGTTCTACATATATGGAGATATCTTGAATAATTCCATGACTTGGATCAATCTTAGGAATTGAACACATTTCCTTTTGCAATACTTTCATGCATTTAAACATTTGCTGGAATAGATAGCCCCAAATTATAACATGCAACACAATGATTTACAATTTAAGGACGCGTTGACAATGATATTTAATACGGTATATTTACAGAAGTAAGATGAAATACCTGGAGAGAACTTGAAGTAATATCACCAATTCGTAAATCTTGTTTATCAGTTAGAATTCTACATAAAAGCGAGCTTTGGCTACAGCATGGCACTTGCTCATTCACTAAGTTCAACAACTCTCGGCAATTTTCATCTGAATCAACAATATGTTCAGTTGCAGACTTGTTTAGATCGAAAGATTTATCCATGGTAACTGAATTACTACGTTTCTCTGCTTGATTGCGCGATGGTATAAAATAGGTTTCCTCAATAAGCGCTAGGTCGATTAAACATTTACAAACTTCCAATGACAGCATAGGCATGATTAACAGCTCAAATAACCGCGGTAGATAAGTTAACGTAAACTCCTAAACCAAGAAAAAAGTGTACAGCTATAAGAAATATTTTCTACAACGATAGATCATACAATAAATAAAAATTATCGCAAGTATTTGTCTTATTTAAATATGTAAAAACAAAATTGGATAAATCGCCCGTTAACAACCTCCTTTGTAGATGTATTCCAGCAAAACGCTGCACCACAAACAAAGGAAATATGACTTGCGAATGTTGTTCTAAGATCATCTGCAGCCCAAAAATCAGAAATAATAATTCCATCTGCTTTCGCACTGAACGCCGTTCTCGCGGACTTGTAGATATTTTTAATGGCATGCAGTGGGCGCCCAAAAGTACTGCCAGCAGAGCATTAAAAGATTAATTCAGAAAGATTGTATAATAAATCCAATGCTTGCAAATGTCATTGCTATACGCGCGATCAGTTTTGCGACTTTACTCAAATTGTTAGGAGTAGTATAAAGGTTACAATTGCTACATAATTAAGCTCGATTACAAACCTTTGCTGGGCACACGTTTTGCAAGAGACATAATAGCTTAACCTGAAAAATACCACCAATACCGTATTCAAAATTGATTATCGATACTTTACTGAAAATGTACATGTATATATAAGTTATACCCAGCTTTTGCTAGTGCTGTACAGTGGCTCTCATGGTAGCGATAGTTCTAAGATAATATCAATGTTACATTAAAAAAGATCCTTAAAGTTCAAATACAAATAACAGCAAGATAAACAACATACTACACATGCATAGGTTCCTAAGATCAGGTTAATTTTTTCAAAAATTTTAAGAAATCGTTACAGGCATTTAATTTGTACAGTTACTAACTATAGCTATCAGTTAAGCGATTACAAGACGTGAGTACTGTAACATTGTTATGTTTCGGTATCATCGCATACACAAACAATATGTAGAGACATTCTGCCAGACTACAAATAGCTACGGATCGTGTTAACTACGCATATTTACTGAAATTATACGGGTAATTGCAATATGCAAACATACTCGTCAATCTTTTATGTCGAGACATGCAAACATTATCTAGAAGTTATCTCGAGAACCTAAGCATATTACCTAATATCTCTATAGGAATACCTCGGTACCCTCGAGTTTTATTGTACTGTTTGATGGCAAAAGGTCATTCTCATACAACTTAGAAGACCTTCAGCCAAAAACAGGATCGAAATTTCGAAAGCAGTGATGCTATTTACTTCTGATTATCAACACCTTACTTACTTCATCAAGACTCATAACGGCTACAGTTTCTGGAGGAAGCGACCAAACTACATTTACATCTTCATGTATCATAGGACCTAACCAATATTTCATTATCCTCCCATTCCTTCCGCACCAGATCGAAAATTGTTCTACCAAGTAGGTGCTAATATTATCCTTTAAAACGTCGGTCAATTCATTAAACTTACTCCCTCCGATAATCATAAGAAATTCTGTTATTCTGCTTATTTTATAGCCTGTAGATACTTACGTGATCGTAACTGGATGCTTTATCAGAGATGCTAATGTGCACGTACCTAGTCATCAAGCGTATAAGAAAATAATTAATGCAATGCTTAAACCTTGATCAAATAAAATCTCATATCTATGTATTTACCTACTACTGCAAAAAGAAGTGATATAGCTAGCACAATACTGTAAGACATGTTCCATAGAATTGGCTATAGAATCAGAACGATTTGATCCCAAAATGTCCGATCTATTGAAATAACCATAACATATGTTTTCAAGAACTTAAAAAGAGATGAATTAATTTTAGCTATGTAAGCGAAGATAAGAGCATGAGATAGATACTTACTCTTGCGAAAGATGCAGATCAAAATGAGGTATAAGAGATATATATCTTGACTGACAATACTGATCAAAACGAAACAGTTCACTACACAGGAGAAATAAAAATGCTTTTTAAAGTCCTATTTCAAACTATGTTTGATGTATGAATATATATTAAGTTTTGCATCTAAAATGATAATGCCAATTGTAATAGAATAATGCAATGTGTAAAATAGACATTGATACCGTTAATTTACTAAATAATTATTATTTCAAACCTACTATGAACTGTAAGGAATTGCGTGTAAATCATCGGCTTGCAATACAGAAGCAGCTGGCAAATACAGCTGGAGCTAGAGTAAAATATATATATCTCTCTAAGTAAAGACAACTGTGAACCCGTTTTTCTATAATAATACAAGATGCGATAACGAAACATAAAAATTTTTAACAAACTTGATTATATTTTAGAAATGAAAGTAGATCCACAAGCTCCAGTAGGGATTCCTACAATGTAATACCGTAACAATAAAGAAATAAAACAAAATTATCGCAATGGAATAACTTAGAGAAATCCAAGAAGCTAATACAGTAAACTTTTAGTGAGGTAATTATCTTCACCATGCCTTATT